AATGCTAGTGCGCCGTTACAGCGCCAAATGCTTCACGATCGCTCACTGGTTCGGCTGTTGCCCGCCAGAGGCTTACGAGGAGAGAGAATACGATGCATTTGTGTCGTACTCGCATCAGGACTCGGAATTGGCAGAAAAAATACTGATCCGTCTAGAGGCGCCGCCCCACTCGCTTCGTCTCTGCTACCATCACCGGGATTGGGTAGCCGGCGATTGGATTCCCGCGCAGATCGCACGCTCCGTGGAGCAGTCGCGATGGACGATCATCCTCCTGTCGAAGCACTTCATGGAGTCAGTTTGGGGCCTATTTGAGTTCCGACAGGCGTACCTGCGCGCACTCACGGGCGACAAGGTGCGCATCCTTATTGTGCTCGTGGAAGACGTCATGTCAGATCCACGGATGAACGACGAGCTGCGCACTTACTTGGCAACCAACACTTACCTGCACATCGACGACCCCCAGTTTTGGGACAAGCTGCCGTACGCGGTGCGGCGCCGACGCGCGTTTCTGGAGGCCCTCCGCCGCCCCCGCCCCACCCCGGCCATCACCCCGGCGCCGCCCGCTGACAAGCTTCTTGGTTCGGCGCTCGAGGACAAGATTGCGCTCGACGGAAATGTGCTCAACGGTGCTTTCATATCACCATCTGTCGTGGATTTATTCACCAATACAATCACGAAAAAAGAACACAACATCGATGCTCATGTAGCGTAGTATGTAAATACATGCTACGCTACATGGGCATCGGTGTTGCTTTACAACTCTCTCTCAGACTTATAAATTAAGGATTTTAAATGCGAAATATAAAAGATAACTATACAAAATAATGTATATGTTAGGAGATTCATGAGGATTATATTTAATATAACATAAAGTCATGACAGAGTTACTTCTCCTCTTTTGTATAAAAGTGTCCAAGTTACCGTTGCTCCGTTTCATTTCTCAGAAAATAGAGAGTGAAAGTAAGAATTGAAAATAAAATTGTCCAAATATAGTAGTAATATTATATTATAATATATTGAACAAAATCTCTTGTTTTAATCATTTTATGCTAACTCACGAATCTCATTTCATTGCAATATTCATTTTACCTTACACTAGCAACTATTCTAGTTTTATAGTTTCAACTTTTAATAGGACAATATTAACATCTTTTGCTTTTAGAATCTTACTGCCTTATGCAGTCAGGTAATCTAGTCAACGTCTTGTGCTACCAACTATGTGTCTGGGTATTGCACTGCAGCTAAGTCTTAATTTTGCGATGTTGTACATAAATTATGGTTTGCATTTATCTTTGGCCTTCGATACGAGTATCTCTTTTTTATCTAAGTTTTACATGTCACACCCACCGAACATTGAGGTGTTGTTCAAAATACAATGTCATCTATAACTCCAACTAAAGAAATTTTAAGGCTGCCTACTTTTATAACTACATGTTGAGACTAGGGTAGCCAACCATACTTTATAATAACGTATTCTACTTTATTTTTGGTAAATATACGTTATACTTTTGCATAAAAATAAAGTATGGGAAAATACTCTATTTTCAATATTTACTGTGAAGCATGAAAAAAACACAATGTATGTACCTATATGGATAATTACTGAATTTTATTGATACTTCTAAGATGAAAAAAAACTTTTGCTGATAATTATATTATATGATTTTTATTTTCATCCAAGAAAATTTTATCACTTTTTTTTCTTAAATGATATAAGTGTGCAACTAGATGTTTTCGTATTGTCGTTTTAATGAAAAGTTTTTTTTTTGTTTCAATTGAGAATGTAACGATAGCTTCCAAAAATTCGAGTAGAGTAAAAACTGTATGTGCTAGAAGCATAAAAAAATATATCTTCAAGAGGACAAATAAATAAAATTTTAATAATTTCTTTATTTTTCTTCTTTATACTTTATTTTTTCTCTACTTGATATGTGTGATACTTTATGTTTCTCAAAAAAAGTTTGCAACCCTAGTTGAGACTGTTTGGATTATAACGAAGCAATATTATAAATATTTTTAGTTAAAGATTGTAAATATATAAGTGATATTTGATAAATGGTGTTTTATTAACGATAATTGTCATTTTATTATTTTCTATTATTCTTACTGTAATATGTATTCCAAGAGCGCGCGAAATGCTAAGAAAAAGCTAAGACTAAAAAAAGCGCTGGCAGTTCATCGGAAATACTTAAATAATAAACCACTTTCATCTCAATCAGGCATTTTGAACAAATTCAAATAAGTATTTAGATTAAAAAAACTACGTTTAAAAAAACCAACTCCAAAAACTAAAAGGTATAAAATAACTTAAATAAGATTTAATTTAATAGACCTCTTATGCCAATCTATACATAATACTACATATTTAATATTACCATGCTTAACCGATGCTGGTGTAGAGCTGATCAAACATATATTTGAGGCTTGGGAGAGTTCACAGGATGCTCTGGGTGCCTTTTGTGATCTTTCCAAGGCTTTCGATTGCGTGAATCATGAAACATTGATCAGAAAATTGCGCCATTATGGCATTAAAAGTACCACGCTTGACCTCATTAATTTTGACGCTATTATGGCATTATGGCGCCATTATGGCATTCAAAAAGTTGTAATTAATGGTGCTAGTTCTTCTGGGTCGACGGTATCTATGGGCGTTCCGCAGGGCTCGATTCTCGGCCCATTTCTCTTTCTCATTTACATTAATGATCTTCCTTACTTTGTAGGGAGTAAACACGATATAGTGTTATTTGCCGATGATACATCATTAATTTTTAAAATCGATCGACAGCTTGTTACACTTGACGAGGTAAATAATGCTATGTCAGAAATAGTCTATTGGTTTCATACTAACAATTTACTATTAAATGGTAATAAAACTAAATGTATGAAATTTTTAACACCTAATGTTAAACATTTAGGTGCTACCAATGTATTTATAAATGGGAGGAGAGTTAGGCCTTGTGGATACGACTGTCTTTCTTGGAATAACTCTCGATGCAAAGCTTCAATGGGGTCCCCATATATCCAAACTTGCGAATAGACTAAGTTCTGCAGCGTATGCTATAAGGAAAATAAGATGATAAATTGTGTATTTTAGTTACTTTCATAGAATGATGTCATATGGTATTTTGCTATGGGGGCACGCGGCCGATATAGAAACAATTTTTATTTTGCAAAAAAGGGCTATAAGAGCTATTTATAATCTAGATTTGAACGCATCTTTGAGAGAGAAATTTAAAGAAATAAATATATTAACCTTAGCCTCTCAATATAGATTTTGAATAAATTATTTTGATTTTGAGTAATAAACTACTCAGAGCCGTGATAGCTCAGTGCCCGGACACTCGCCTTTAATTCAATATACTCGAGCAACCTGAGTTCGTTCCCCGGTGCCGGCACCAATGAAGTTTTTAACTTTAAGTGCTGACTTATCACGTGCTCCGCGGTGAAGGAAACATCGTGAGGAAACCTGCATATTTTCGAAATAATAACAAAAAAATATATATTTCAAAAATATGTGAAGTCCGCCAAACTGCAGTGGGGCCGCGTGGTGGACTATGCCCGGATATCCTCTGTCTGAGGAGGCCTTTGGTCAGCAGTGGGACATGTATTGGCTGTTACTTTATTTTTTTTACTTTTAATAAACTATTATTATTTGTATGAGCTACCTAATGGTAGGTTTGTAGTCGGTACGCGATTTTCTTTACTTATTTTATTATAAGTTCCTAAATGATATCTCCGGGCTCTATAATATACATAGTGTCCCAAAATTCAACGATAAGCCAACACCGGAGGATAGACTTGCCCCGGACTAATCGGGGAAAAAAAGAAATAAAATATATCCCAATTATATTTTAAGTTATATAAAAA